TGTGAATTTTGGTTAGAAGAAGTAAAATATTTAGGCCATGTGATTTCCAAAGAGGGAGTGCTAGTAGACCCAACTAAGATGAAAACAATTCTACAATGGGATCCACCAAAAACAGTGACTAAGATTTGTAGTTTCCTGAGTTTGACAGAATATTATAGGAGATTCATTAAAGGATTTCTAAAATAGTTATGTCGTTAACCTAACTCACCAAGAAATGTCAAGTTTTTGAATGGACAGAAAAATGCAAAAATAGTTTTCAAGAACTTAAGAAAAGATTAATCATTTCCCCTATACTAGCATTACCTAACCCAACTGGACATTTTTTTATATTTTGTGATACTTCTAAAATGGGATTAGGATGTGTTCTTGTGCAAGATAAAAGGGTAGTTACATATGTTTCTAGACAACTAAGAACACATGAAAAAAATTATCCAATTTATGATCTAAAACTAGCCGTCATCATTTTTGCACTCAAAATATGAAGACATTATGTATATGGTGGTAATTTTGAGGTTTTTAGTGACCATAAAAGTCTTAAATGCTTGTTTGACCAAAAAAAGTTAAATATGAGACAGAGAAGATGGATGGAGTTTTTGAAAGATTATGATTTTGAATTGCATTATCATCCAGGAAAGGCAAATGTGGTAACACACGCTTTAAGTAGAAAATCTTTATATGTCTTTTTCTTGATGATTCATGAGATGAGTATGCTAGAAAAATTCAGAAACATGAATTTATCAATTACTATGAATCCTGATAGAATAAAATTAAACTTAACTTAAATTACTAGTGAATTACAAAGACAAATCTAAGAGGTTCGCTCAGGTAAGTGATGAATTTATTCAAAAGAAAAATAAGTTGATAGGACAAAAGAATGGAGAAAATTTTGGCATAAGTAAAATAGGAATTTTGAGATTTAGTGGTAAGATATATGTGCCTAATGATGTAAAGATTAGGAAGCTGATTTTAGACGAACCACATAAGAGCAAATTGAGCATACATCCAGGCACAACAAAAATGTATCAAGATCTTAAGAAAATATTTTGGTGGTCTAAAATGAAGAAGAAAGTGGCACAATATGTAGCATCATGCTTAGTTTGTCAAAAAACTAAGATAAAACATCAAAGGCCTATAAGAATAATCTTTAGACATACATAAGTAGAAATTGGATAGTATATTGCAATGGACTTTATAGTTGGCTTACAACGAACAATTCAAAAATTTGATTCCATATGGGTTATCGTGGATAGGTTGACAAAGTCTACTCATTTTCTACCGATTAACATTAGGTATACATTGGAGAAACTAACTGAATTGTACATAAAAGAAATTGTGAGGTTACATGGAGTTTCATCTAGTATTATTTCTGATAGGGATTCTAGGTTTATTTCTAAATTTTGGGGAAGCTTACATCAAGCCTTAGGGACTAAGTTTCATCTTAGCTCAACTTATCATCTTCAAATTGATGAACAATCAGAAAGAACCATCCAATCTTTGGAAGATTTGTTGAGAGCGTGTGTGTTAGAGGATTCTGGTAGTTGGGATCGATACTTGTAATTAATTGAATTCACTTACAACAACAATTTTCAGTCTAGCATAGGTATGACATCCTATGAGGCATTGTATGGGAGAAAATGCAGAACACTTTTATGTTGGTTTTAAACTGGAGAAAATTTAATCTTAGGTCCTGACATGATTCAACAAACCACAGAGAAAATTAAGATGATTCAGAAAAAATTAAGAATAACTCAAAGTCGACAGAAAAGTTATGCTGACAAGAGAAGACGACCCCTTGAATTCCAAGAAGATGAGCATGTATTATTGAAAGTAACATCGGCAACTGAAGTTGGTAGAGTAATAAAAGCAAAGAAATTCACTCCTCGATTTATTGGTCCCCATCAAATTTTTAGAAAAATAGGTATTGTTGCTTACCAAATTTTCTTACCCTCTTTCCTTTCTAATCTTCATAATATGTTTCATGTGTCTCAGTTAAAAAAATATATTTATGATACTTCTCATGTAATAATGTCAAATACAGTACAATTAAAGGATAACCTTATATTTGAAACAATGTCTATACAGATTACAGATATGAAGATCAAGCAACTGAGGGGAAGACGAATTTCATTAATGAAGGTTGTTTGAAATGAAATTACTGGAGATGCTACGTGAGAATTAGAAAAGAGAATCAAATAAAGTTACTCTCATTTGTTTTAGTCACTAAAAATTTCGAGGACAAAATTTTTGTAAGTACAGGAAAATGTAACATCTCAAAATTGATGATGTAATTTTTTTTCAAATATAATGTATTAAATAATATGTTTGGTAATTTAAATAATTTTAAAATAAAACTCATTCATGTAAAAATAAATAATATATATATATATTTGTTAAGTTATTATATATATATATATATAAATAATAATTACAGTTTAAATTAAAAAAAGATATTTATTAATTATTATAGAATAAAATTGATTATTGAAAAAAAAAACATGATCTTATCTCTTTAAGAGATAATGACCTTATCTTATTTCTTGCATTAAATGTAAGTAAAAAATAATAATTAATTATGATTATAACAAGGGGTTACGGGGAAAGGGAGAAAGAGAGGAGGAGAAAGGGGAAGAGAGGAGAGAGAAGGAAAGAAAGAAAGAAGAAAGGAGAGGAAGGAGAGAGAAAGGAAGAGGAAATGAAAAAAAGAAAAATAATTAAAAAAAAATTGGTGAAACATCTTCAATTATTAACGTAGAGAATAAGACTATTATTATTTTATCTATTTTATTTTAATTATAGTTGTGGAGTGATGTGTCTTTAATTTTATTATATTTATTTTGTTACTTATTTATTTATCTTCAACTATTTACTAACCTGTCTTATATTTATTTATCTTGAGTCATGCACTTGTCTTAATTTAATTATCTTCGTTACGTATTAGTCTTGCTTTATGCCTTCAGTTACTCACTAGTCTTATTTATTTATGTCTAGTTGTTTTATCTTCAATTACATACTGATCCTGTTTATTTATTTTATCTTCAGTTATGCACTAGTCCTATTTATTAATTTATATTATTTAATTATTTTTAAATAATAATATCTATTTATGAACATTTGATAATAAATATCACTGATTAATATTGAGTTCATTTATCCTGACTAGTTACTATAAATTTAATTTAAATCTTCATAAATGGAATAAGTTAAGAAAGTTGAAAAATATATTTTATATATCATTATAAGATGGTATTATTTTAAATAATAATTGTTTTCACTTCTTTATTGTTATTCCTTGTACATGTTATAACTAAAATATCAACATAAATAAATGGAAGCATCAAGATGGAAGACATGTATCATTCAACCACTATTAGAAGAAATTTTTATTGTGTTAATTTTAATAATTGTTTCTAATATAAACTTGTAAAACTCACCGTACATATAAATGTATAAATATTTATCTCATGTCTTACTTTTGTTAATACTTAAAAGAAAATAATAATCTTTTAAAATATGATTAATAATATGATAAAAAAACATGTCACACGCCTATTTTCGGAATATCAATTTGAGAATGTAGTATTGTCATGTTTGTTTAGGGTTTAAAAAAATTATTCCTTGATATTACTTTAAAAAAAATACTACATGATTTTTTTACGATAATTCATGAGAATATGGAAATTTATTTTGATAAATGTATTTTGTATTTATGTAAAGTTTTAAATATATTAAATATGTTTCATATTTTTTTATTATTTTATTTCCTCAAAATTTAAATATTTTTTATTAAATATATTAGTTATGCATAAACAGAAAGCTGAGATGAATAATTATTTTACCACTAGAATTTTTATATTTGGTAAAAAACAAAATTGGGAACTTTAGAAAATATACAAAAATTAGTGACTAAGAGGATGGGTATTCAAATAAAATCGAGAACTGATAAGAGAAAATTGATTAAAATTGAATTTTTTCTTTTTTAGATTTTTTTATGTATGAATTTTAAAATTAATCAAATAAAAAAATAATTCAAATTGAACCAAATTATAATATATATTATTAATTAAAATATAAAATAATATTTTTATTAATGAATTAATTAATTTTTTTATAATTTATGATATATATTATTTTTTAAAATTAAATATAAAAATAAATAAAAATTATGAATATTATAATTAATTATATATAATATTTTGTAATATATTTATATATTAAATAATTATTTTATTATAATATATTTAACAACTTTATCATAAAAAAATCTAAAAACTATCAAATCAAATATCAAAATATTGATTTGAATTTATTAAATTATTTTAAAAATCAAATCAAATCAAAACTAATGATCGCATTTAAAATTCGATGAATATCATATATATTGATAAATAAGTAATGAAATTGGTGAATTTGTATATAAATTTAATTTATGAAAAACAAAAAAGTAATAAAATCTGCCATACAACAATTTGTGGTCACCAGGTGGTGGAGATTCATGAGCCAATGATTGATTATTTATTCCACAAGTCACAATCCAATAAATATTAAAAACTTGTTTCAAACAAATATAAGAAAGAAAACAATTAATTATACAAATTTCTGGTTCTACTGCTACCTGTTCCATAAGAAATGACTTTTATAGAAAAGGGAAGTCATTTAAAGAGTTAATTAAGCATTCTTTAATCAATAATTTGGAACTGGAGACAGATACGTGACATGACAATACATTCACAATTAAAGACGTTTCTTGGTAAATTAAAGTTAGACAAAACTGGTTCTGCACATGCATGCACCACTAGTCTCATGCATGCACAATTTTTAACCACTAACTTGTACCTTAAATCTTTTTCGTGTTTGGTGTTCAAAATGGTAAAGTATCTACCATTAAGTATCTACATCCAATTAGTCATTTCTTCAAGTTCTTCATCCACCAGCACACATATAAATACATTGTGTGTTACCTGTGTCTGTATGCATTTCTTTTGAAGAAGCAAAATCTAGCTATGGGGGGGCTCAAAGTAAGAAGCAACAGCAAAATAAGGGTTGTGGGTGGTATTTTGAAGTTGAAGGGTGTGTTGGAAAAGCTTCAAAAGAGTGTCTTATTGCGGAGACATAAATCAAGTTCCTATGGTGGAGATTATGAAGAATTAGGAGATGACAGAAGGTGCGTGGCAGAGGATGTGAAAGAAGGACATTTTGTTGTGATTGCAAAAGATCTTGTGGAGGAGGCAAAGAGATTGGTGGTTCCATTGAGCTGTTTAAACAATCCAACATTCTTGAAGCTATTGGAGGAAGCAGAAGAAGAGTATGGATTTGATCAACATGGTGCACTAACCATTCCTTGCAGGCCTTGTGAACTGGAGATGCTGTTGGCTCAGCAATGGAAAGAAAGAGAGGGATCCTGATCCTGTTAGGAAAAACTTCTGCAACAAAACCATGCCTAAAAACTACAAAAGCTATGTACTTTTATATATATATTTTGAGCCTGTACTACTACCACTGGTACTAATACACAAAGGATTTCATTAGCCACTATAATACGTATGTATTGGCCAAGAGGTACTTTTATTAGCAGTCATCTCAGATAAAGGAAAAATTATTCAAGCACGTAGCAGAAATTGTTAATTAGTGTTCTGAGATTATTATGATGTTTATTAATTTATACGTCTATAAATTGTAAAATTTAGATGTGTTACTTATATAGTGATTGAAGTTGTATAGGTTTAATCCCTACTTTAGATTTAAAATCTTAGATATAAAGTTGACTTAAATATTTGAAGTAAAAAAATATTAATTGAAAGTTAACTTTAATATCTAAAAAAAAGTTTAGTTCATATATGTTACTGATTGAAGATAATTTAAGGGTGAATTGACATTCCTTGATTTTTTTTTTTTTAAATATCTGACAAATGATTTATATATGAATCAATTAATTTTGTTGATTATGAAAAATGATTTCTTTTTGCAAGATGGTTAGAGAGGAGATTATGAAATCAATGTAGACTTACAAGTATTAAAATATAAATTTTAAAAGGTATTTTTTTTATTCTCAAAACATTCAACCCAATTTGAATTTCAAGAAAAAGAAGAGTATATCAAGAATTTGTCAATTCTTGCTAACAAATATTTTTGATCTCATGCGAAAATGATTTTAAATAATTTAAAAAAATTACGTAGACAAGTAGAGTATGTTTGAAAAAACCATTTCACATGTAACAATATAGTGAAGTCTTGATTTTATTATGATATTCTTTTAAGTTTTTTATATCATAACATAATCAAATATTTATTATTATTATTATTATTATAACAATCATAATTATAATATTATTCATAATTATTATTTTAATAATAGTTATAACAATAAATAAAAGAGATATTTTTTTATAATTTTTTTCATTATTAATAAAAATACATTATCTTTTATAATATAAAAAAATTATTATGCTACAACGAAAAGATAATATAAAAAAGACAGTTATTATTGTATTATTAAGAGAGAAAAAAATACTTATAAACAGGCCTATAATCGTTATATGATCTTAATGTTTTATTGTGTTAAGAAAAAAATATTTTAATAAGTTATATTATTATTTATATTATAATATCTTATTTAAAAAAAAATTTGAATATGTATACATAATCGAAATCACATATATCTTTCGACTTGACATTGTTTAATCCCATGTTTTATTTTGTAAGCACAATATTAAGTATAGTATCATGTGGGTAACTAAATAAAGAAAATGTGGGCGATTTAGGGTTCTAAAACAAGTATTCTTCACAATGCAATATAAGCCACTCATTGGGCCTCACAACTTTACATCAAAACTCTTTTCGCCTTGCTCTTCAATTCTATAAATAATTGGTCAAAATTAGGTAAACACATGAAACTTAGAGAAGAAAAATCATGGAAAAGAAACTAGGGAAAAAAAATACATATTTCAACATGAAAACAAAATTATACTCATAAAAAAAAATAAGAGATAAACTTATGAGAATTGAAAATAAATAAATAAATATAAACTTATGAAAACTGAATGAGATAGTTTCTTTAATTTGAAGAAAAAGTATAACAAAGTTTTTATTTATTTTTAAAGAATATTAGTTTTCTTTAATTAAAAACCTATATTTTCTCGAATAACCGCTAAACGTATAATCCTCGTACCAAAAGATAAAGAGCAACGTACAGGAGAATTTGCATTTGCATAACACGTGTCATCGTTATAATACAAGTTCTATCACCAGCTTCTTAACTCAAAGTAATAATTATTTATTGAATCAGTAAATGTGAATTTAGAATGAAGTATGAAAGGAATACTTTATTTCATTTTTTAATTTAAGTATATCAAAAGAGAATAATTGTTTAAGAATAAAATTTAATATTTTATTATACATTTTATTGAGTTGTTTGAAATTTTATAATAATTGTTTAAATAAACAATCTTCTTTTTATCTTAAACAATTATTTTCATTTTAAGCAATTTAAATATAATATCCATAATAAAATAATTTTGTATTTCTAAGTCACTCTTATTATTCATTTCATTTGAAGACGTTCCTAAAGTCAAATTTTATTTGAAATATTAGGGATATTTTTTAAAATGAGGATAAAGAAGGAAAAATTTACCTAACTATCTTAAAGAAAAATTAGACTTAAAAAAATCAATCATATATACTAAATTAGTATATATAATTCATCAAAAACTTTTACTTGCATTTGGACTAGAGATTTCATTAATTTTAAGAAATTCGAATACGTTTTATTTTAATTGTTTTTTATTAAATTATTTTAATTTTTTAAATATTTTGTTTGGATAAAATAATTTAAATATTTTAATTAGTTTTTTTATCTGATAAAATAATTAAATTTATTCTAAAATAAAATTTTATTTTAAATATAAAATTCTAATATTAAACTTTATAAAAATAAATATTATTCAAATTTAAGTATTAAAAATATTTAATAATTAAATTTTTTAATATTGGATAAAAAATAATAATTTAAAAAATAAATATAAATAATTTTTATAAAATAAATATGGTATGGTATTATATTATATTATATTATTAAAATAAATATATATATTTTCATGAGAGAGTAATGAATGAGTGATTATACGATAGGGAAGATGAAACAAGTGAATGACTTTCTTTGTGAGTGGAATTTCAAATTCTTTATTTTTTAAGGTATTTTAAAAAAGTTGTTTGAATTACCTTTTTAAATTTATGAAAAAAAAATTATCTAAACAAATAATTTACTCTAAAAAAAATTCATCAAATAAATAAATTATCCCCTTTAATTATCTCATCCAAACACAAGAAACAAACAACAAATCAATACCATAACACATTGATAAGTAATCAATACATTATAGGTGTAATAAAGTATTATAAGAATATATAATTGATTATATATATGACACATGTTCCATGATTTATGTAATTCTTTTAAATCCAGAGCAAGAAAAAAGTAAAATCAATTTATTAGCATATAAATTATATTCATATTTCTAAAAGTGATTATACAAACTTTTTTATTATTTTACGTGTAAAGGTGTTAAAATAATTCAACTTCGGTTGGTTTATCATGAATTTTGTTATAAATAAGTCAATTTAATCCTACTTTTTTAGCTAAAATTTTTACAAAACTCATTATGATGAATGAAATAAGTTGATTCCTTTAAATGTGTTTTATTTTTTAATTATTTTATTTTTTAAAACTAAAATATTAAAAATAATAATCACTACTAGTTTTAGCCCTCATTACATAAATACCACTCTGCACTACGCTGAGTTCGGCATTCATGCAGATTATGCTGACAACTGCATTAATCCAAACAATCTGTTTTGTAATTGTTGAGAAAAGCAAGACTGAAAGAAAGGACATTTAAAACATTTCACATCTTAATAAAATATCTCTACCTATATCTTAAGATTCAAAATTATAAAAATATAAAATCAGACTAATTATTAAAGTTTCTCACATGGGAGAAGCAAATAAGAAAAATAATATTTATTTTCTAGTTTATTAAGGCGCCTTACCTCCCCTCTAAATAAGATGTCCTTTTCACCCAATTTATTCTCCCTCTCCTTTTTGACTGGAACAGCGGCTTAAACTTGGTAGAGGTGAAATAATTAATACAAATATGGAAGAGATAGAGGAAGAAATAGAAGTAGATAGGATATCTAAACTTGATATAATGAATATAGTTGGAATTTCCCTCAATTTACAACCCAAAAAAGGAAGCTAGGAACGTCGTATAGAAGGAAATATTAGCTGTAACATGAAGAGCTACAGAGAAGAGTGAGCTAGGGAACTAAAAGTAATTATAATACGAAAAATATAATACTCTGGGTACAATAGTTCATTTCTAGAATATGCCTCTCGATCGTAGATTTAGATAGGGACTGTCTACCTCAAGGTGATATCCCATTTATCCATGCTGGTTAACAACCAAGCAAATAAATGATAAGCACAACAAATAGTAATAGTAAATAAGGAAAAAAAATATATATTATCAGTCCAAACCCGTGGCATCTCGGCTAGGACAAAAATCATAACCACCTTCCACACGAAACACCGATTATGCCAATAGAAATCGTCAAAGTTGAGAGAAATCCAACTCAAGCACCCAATCATGTACTGCGAGTGAGAAATCCATGGATATTGAGAAATCCCCACTACCTGCTTCAGTCGGATAAACCAGCCTTAGACTTTAGATGCGCCTTGAATTCCATAATGTCACCCTCCCATCTAGTCACGGTTTGATTAGCACATACCCATATCTCATGGGCCACCTGATTTATGAGCCTGAAATCATGGCTGACAAGGACCAAGCCACCGTCCCATTCATTCAGTGCCTCAGCCAAAGAATCAATTGTCTCAATATCCAAATGATTAGTCGGTTCATCCAAAAGAAGCATTTGAGGCTGCCTCCAAGCTAACCAAGCAAATATCACTCGGCTTCTCTGCCCATCAGACAAGTTCTTCATTGGCATCACCTGGGCTTTACCTGATAGACCAAACTTTCCAATAGCTGCCCTCATCTTCTCTTCCTCATTTCCAGGGTATTCTTTAATCATAAACTGTAGAGCAGACATCTCTAAGTCTAGCTTTTCAGCCAAATGCTGGTGATATTGTGCAATCCGAAGATGATTGTGACGCCGAACCATGCCATCAGAAGGCATCAAATCACCAGTCATTAGCTTCAGTAGCGTACTCTTCCCAGCACCATTGGGTCCAACTAGAGCCACCCTAGAATCTAAATCAACCCCAAAGTCAATGTTTTTGTATATGAGGCTATCAGGAGTGTAACCAAAAGAAACCTCAACAAACTGGAGAACAGGAGGGGGAAGTTTTCCAACATCAGTAAAACGGAATACCAAAACTTTGTCCCTGACCACCTTTTCTGCAAGTCCACCACGTTCCATTTTTGCTAATGTTTTCTCCTTACTCTGTGCCTGGCGAGCAAGTTTTGCAGAACCATGCCCAAATCGAGCAATATATTCCTTCATTGACGCAATTTGCTCCTGCTCCCACTTATACTGTTTCATCTGGTTCTCTTCTAGCTCAGAACGTGTCTGAACATATTGATCATAGTTGCCAGTGTAGAGCTTCAGTTTTTTGTTTTGCATGTGGATAATATTCGTGCAGACACCATTAAGAAAGTCCTGAGAGTGTGAAATCACAACCAGAATACGTTCAAACTTCTTCAAACTCTCCTCCAGCCACACACAAGCTTCTAAATCTGTAAACAGATGTAAAAAGTAAGAATATGAGGACCGGAATTTCCAAAAAAAGACAGCAATAATAGTAATAGTGGAATACTGTGCATGCATCAAATTCAAATGAAAGAATGACAAGAGGCCTGACTACCTTAGTTAAATGCCTAATCAGTTGCACTAGAAGAAACAGGTACTTCAATAAAACAAAAGGATAATGCATATAATGGCATGAGGGCTGAGAACTAATTTTATATACAAACAAGAGAAAGAGAGTCACAAACAACAAATTGATGATGGTTAGGTATAGCATTTAGAATGGTATATCAAGCATGCTGATATGACACATCTACTATACTATCCAATATGGGACCAATCCCACCACGGCAACATGTACGATCCTTCCTAGCCAATTGTTAGAAAGCATTTCATGAAAGATCGTTAAAACTACATCAAATAACTAAATAAACCATCATTGGGACCTTCAATCAAATATCAGGTGATACAACAAAGATTACCACCACAACCAAAATATGAATTAAATGTAAGATGAAAATTAATAAGACTATTGGACGCTTCCCAGTGTAGAAAGTATACCAAGGTGATTGGTTGGTTCGTCAAGAAGAAGAATGGTTGGGTTCATAAATAGAGCTCGAGCTAATGCAATTCTCATTCTCCAACCACCAGAAAAATCACGTGTCTTTTTTGCCTGCATTTGCTTGTCAAAGCCAAGACCATGCAAGATTTCAGCAGCACGCTTTTCTGCGGTTGCTGCATCTAGGGCATCCAATCGTTCATAAACACGTTCAAGGGATTCACCACCTCCATCATCCTAGAACCATGATTACTCAAGCAAACTTAGCAAGCCACACAAAATTAAAAAACAAAAGGGGTAAAATCTAATTATGTAAGTACTCAACCAAACCTGAGCGGCCAAAAGTTCAGCCTCTTGCTCCAATTTCAACCTTTCTTCGTCACAGCTTATGACAGCTTCCAATGCAGACATGTCAGAGGCTTCAATCTCCCTGGTAAGGTGATAGATATCCATGTGATCAGGAATTGGAAGTTCCCTACATCCAATGGCTGTAAGCAGTGTAGATTTTCCACAACCATTTAATCCAAGTAAACCATAACGCCTGAAAGAAATCCAAAGCAATCACAATGAGTGGTTAAAATTCTAATTACGAATATATGTGCCTATCTGAACCAGAAAAGGTAAGGAGAACAAACCTTCCATAATTAAGCTCCAGTTCAGAATCAACAATGAGATCATGTCCATGGAATGTAACAGATAGAGACTCTATCTGCAATAAAATAACAAACACAACCAATCGCATCAATACAAAATACTGATCACTTTCAGCATGAACAAAGTCATAATTAATTTGGCAGAAATGTCCTTCTGCTACACAACATTACCTACCTCAGAAGGGTTTGTAATGGGTGAGTAATTGGTTACATTCACAAAGGAGAACCATGGCAACATGGTAGAATGGCCATGCTACAGACCCAACTGCCCAGCTAGGCGCTCAAATACGTGCACGCACGCTAGCAACAATAAGCTACAAGTAAGACTCACTAAACCGGGAATGTCTACCACATTCTAGAAAACTTACACATTATCAAAATATATTATGTCTGCTATATAAGGATGCAGGCAAAAAAGTGCGTAAATAAACTTAAGTCTGCTGTGAACTTTGTTCTAAAAAAACTTATGAACTAAACCGTATTAATAATTAATGAAAGTATTGGACAGCTTTATGTGCTTTTCATAAACTAAAGGCAGAATTTTTCATTAAAAGGCCAAACTAAAAAATCATTGCGCTATATTGTTCGAACATTATGCTGTCTGGTAACATACCGTCAATGAACCGTACAATTCGAAAAAGAAAACCTAGCATAGCATAAATATCTCTTGCATACAGGATATATCGAAAATAAATTTGTGTTCGTTTTGTTTTTCTTCATTTATATAAAACGATTCAATATTATGTGGGAATCCACTACTACGAAGAGATTCATTTATAAGTATTTAGTTGCTGCAGTCACGGTTAGGGTTACTCACTCGAATATCTCTGGAAAGAGGATGCGAACAGAGGACGCCGGTGCAGGTCCGATCCGATATCTGAATATCGGCGATTCCGTTGGCGACCTTGTCGGCAGCTTTGGAAGACGCTGCAGCGGAGACCGCAGCGGCAGCAGCCTTCCCACCTCTTTTAGCGGCGGCGGCGGCCTTCTTCTGTGCAGCCTTTTTCTTGCTAGCGTCAGACACCATCCTCGATCGCGAATGGTATACGAATTACGAACAAAAGTTTGGATCGGAAAGGAGAAACGAAGATAGATCTATATTATGGCCCTAGGGTTTCGCGGAACGAAGAGAAACTGAAGACGAACCCGAGAGAAAGCTTAGGGTTCGAGGTTTGCGATTTGAAGAAGGTAGTTGTGGACGGTGTGATGCGAAGTTTGGTGGAATATATAGAGAGAGGAGTGAGGGGGGTGTGGGCTTCCGCTTTGATTGCGTGTTCAAGTTGGACTGGGACTGAGAAAGGTAACGTCAAATTATAAAATTGTTACCAACCACTGTTGCTTTTCAGTCCCTTTGAGCCACAATTGAAACTTAATTTCCTTATTATGGGCTTCGTAGTCTGTTCTTTTATTCTGATCTTGTATATGGGCCGGCCCAGATCTTTCTCCAAAGATCTTAGTAGCCTTATAACTATGTCAAACCTTTGAAAAAAAGTTGTATAATTTCCTCGGATAAAAAAAATACGAAAAAACATAACGTTTTTATCTTTATATTTTTTACGAAATTATTTTTTTCTTATATGTTTAAACTAATGAATTTAATCTGTTAATATTTAAAAATATATCATTTTAATTTTTGATATATAAATTTCATATTTAATAACAACTTTCACTGTCATGAAATTTATATAAAAACTAACTTTACATAAGATGTTCTTTTAATTAGTCTTTATAATTAAATTTATAAATAGATATTGTCGTTACAAATTTAATAAAAATAAAATATATTTACACAAAGTATAAAAATCAAATTAAAACCAATGTTAACAAAAACAAATATATAAAAAGAATAATAAATATTTAAAATATAAACTGAAATTTTATTTATTATGTTATATAAAATAAAATATGTAAAACATATTTATAAGATGTATTATCTAAATTATTAAAAAAAAATTGAGTATTTTACCTTAACCTTAAACAAAATAATGTATAGTTAAAGTTGTTATCTTCTCAATCCTTCACACTTACCATTGAATTTATTGATGAATATTTATCTCTTTTATACAGTGGTCACAAGCAACGTGCATCATGTTCATCGACCATCCAGTGGTTCGTTTGTTTTAATTTAATTAATAAATAAATCAATCCAAATATTTGTTTTAGATGTTATAGGATAATAAACCTGAAAAGGGTTATGACTTAAAATTATGAACAATTGTGAGTTAAAATTTGATTCTTTAACAAAACGAAAGCAATCACCATAAATGTCATCATTTATTTATTTTTAGAAATATTTTAAAGCACTCGTTTCTATTGCGAAATGACTCAATAAGTTGTTTTTGTTACTTTTAAGTAAAAAAAATAATTATTATATGCAAGTACGCCTTCTTCTTTTATCATTTAAATATTCTTATTCTGATGTATTTTTTTATTTATAAATAATAATATGTCGACATAAGTTCAAAAACGAAGAAATAAAAGTTTAATTAAATTATTTTAAATATATATAATTAATGAATTTAATTATTTTTTCACAAAATAATTTTCTCTTTATAATTCTCTTTATATAAGATTTCTCTTAACTTTTTACTTTCTTAATTTTTATTTAAATTCACGTAAGTCTTAATATTATTTGAGTAGATAAATACATTCCTATCCTATTATAATTTTAAATGGAATAAAATTTTCTTACTCAAATTTTAGAAAACATTTGTTGTTTTGGAGGTTAATTAGGATTTATACAGGTCTATGGTATTTGATGTAATCTCCGTTTAACAAAAATGAATCTTAATTAATTTAAAAATATTATGATATCGCTTAGTTTGTTAATTAGAATTTTATGTGAGGATAATTTGTCTTTATTTAAATTTAAAAATTATGAAGATTTTTAACTTTGAGATATTATAATTAAGTAAAATTAATATTTAATCCCTTAACACCTTAATTAAGATAGATGAAGTATATTATGATAATAAATTTGTCACATTGTTAATTTTAATAAATTTGATTTTTGTTATTATATTATAAGTTGTGATTGCAGGAATTACTATAGAGAAATAAAGTGTGTAATGATTGTATTTAATACTTGAAAACTAATTTATTTTATATTTTACTAGTCTAATATCTAGTATTTCATTCAATATATATATATATATATATATATATATATATATATATATATATATATAATTAAATGCTTATTTTAAAAATATATTTCTTCAAATAAAAAAATTACAATTCAAATAAAAAATATGTTTGAAAGATGATAGACTTTTCTTAACATATTATTAAAAAATATCCGTCATAAAAATTCATTAAATTATCTAAATGAAACATTACATAAATTTGTTATAAATATATAAAATTAAGAGAAAATTTGAATTTACTTGTCCTTAGGTGTAAATTATATTTTTCATAACTTTAAACTAGTTATAAATACATTTTAGTGTAATTATTTTAATCTATATATAAATTAATTTTAATTTACGAAAAATACATGTTTTTTTAAATGAAAATTTTAGCCAAAATTTTTCTAAATAAATTACATCATTCTTCATATCAAAGATGAATTACATTATCCTTCTTCATAAACTTGAGAGAAAAACAAAAACAAATGAACAAAAGAAAAGTGTTTTCGGATAAATAATAATATATTTGAAGAATTTAAACTAATATTTGTAAATATTAATATATAAAATGAAGATTTTTTTTAAAATGTTAAAATGGTTTAAAAAATTGTTCGTTCTAATCCAAATATGCACGGAAACTTTGAGAGGAAATTACAGTTTTGAGAGATTGACTTGTTAGATTCGTAAGATATTCCTTGTAAACATATGTAGATAATTCAATTTCATTTTGTATAGATTTTTCATATGATACAAAAAAATTGTGCATTGTGGAGGGCCTTAATGTTATAGTCCTTGTTGCTATTGAGTTTCATGAAACTTTAATTACTTTAAAAATCTGTTTTTTTTTTCTTTTATTATTTATGCCCATTCTTTAACAAGCTAAACATTGTTTTTATTATTTCATCTACTTTTTGGTTGCAATGCACTTCTTTTTCTTTGCTTTAGTAGCTATAGACAATAATTAAACTTTTGCTTTATTACCATTTTCTAAGTTTTATAATCCCAGTTGCATGGAAAACAAATTAATCACATAAACAGTATAATTTAATTGGTGGAACAGCGTATTAATTTAAAGTTTATAGTTAATGAGTCATTTACACACAACTTTCTGTATTTTTTTTAATTGATTCTTTTTATATTTAATTAATAGTTGATATTTCTCTTAGTTTGTGAGATTAACAAAAAGATTATAGATATTACGACACATTGATTTAAAATTGGAAAAAATTTATATATATATTTTTAATAAATGTGAGGTTTTGGATTATAAAAGATATTATATACAATTATTGGTATATCTTAATAATAATAAAATAAGTTGGTAATTTTAGTCTATTAGTTTGTTTTGATCTATTTCACTTAATTTGTCAATCCATATAATAAAAGATAGAATTGGACGGATGGACCTATTTAAAAAATATTTATATATTAAAATTAAAATAAAAAATATTATAATTAAAAATATTTATTTGTTATTAATTATAATTAATTATTTTAATTTATCTAATATAAATATTAATTAATAAATAAAAACTTAAAAATTATTATATAATTCAAAATATATTTTAAAATTATATATATAAGAAAATATTGATAAATTCATCCATTAATCCTTCAAACTCACCCCTTCAAAATAAACTGGATATATAACCCATTTTGATTACACGAATTCGGTCCACTACCTTATTTTTTTAACCGATAAAAGTATAATAATGTGTAATGCACATATTTTTCTTGAAAAGAAAAAATATTTTGCCTCTTCATTTAATCATAATTACCAAGACTTTTCATTTGTCTTGTTTCATTTGCATATTCAATCTTCGAAAGAAAACAAAAAAACAAAAAAAAAAAGTCACTCACGTCTCTTTTTACTTTTTCATGTTCGAAAGCATATCAAATTATTGACTTAAAAGTCTTAAAAAGTTAAAAGATATATATGAAAGGACTTTTGGGGCATACTACGGATAAGAAAATATTCACTAAAGTCTAATTATTTTGAGAAAATACTTTTTTGTTTGTAATTTTACAGAAGTATTAACAATAACTTTATCTACGACAAAATAACATTATGTAGAAAATGGTAAATTCAAAACAGTAGTAATTAATACCTCTATTTAATCATTTAAAAAAAAAAAAACTTAGTCACAACGAATATTCCTCAATACAACGAATATATTTCAAAAAAACTTACAAAAAAAATCAATGTCATAAAATGATGGTCATACGCGTTTCATTACTTGTCTTTCTAAGTAACACATGGGTCTTATTATTTTTGCAAACCGAAAAATTATAGATAATTTGTTCTCTTGTTTATGTATGAAAAGTTTACTCAAAAAGACAATTATTTATTTATTTATATTTTACTCATATGTTCTACTTCTATTATATAAAACAAACATAGTTAGATACTGATTTAATTTTTTCTGCGAATCGATTTAGAAGAAAAACATAAAAAAGAAGTGAAGGTCACGTGAAAAAAAAATCTTTCAAAGTTCTATTGATTTTTTTTTCTAACCTATTAAATGAATTCTACTATCAGTAAGTTTATAAGAATATTAAATATTAGATTTTATAATTTTTTTAAATAAATATATTCATATTTAAATCAGAAGTGTTTATTTGATTTTATTAAACATAGTTAATTTAAGTTGGATTTTATTTATAATTACTATAGATATTAAAAATGATAACTTGTTTTTACTATTATCATTATAACGATGTCATTTAAGATGTTGCGATGGTACTTTTGAAAACAAAAATAACTGATAATTATTAAATAACTGTCGTTAAAACATATAATGATAATTATTATAATTAATTCTTATTGTATATCATATATAATAACGAAAAACATTTATGATTATATCTCTTATATATAATAATATATCTTTAATTAGCTTGATAGATCAAATTTAATCATTATGAATGATCAAATTTAATAATAAACAAAAATATTTTTAAAAATTTATGATCCAATTTAATCCCCTTTATCCAACCAGAATGAATTAGATTAAATTGGACAGAATAAAAATCTTGTTCTAAATAATACTAAATAGTAAAAAGGAAACAATAAGTGAAAACAACCTTTTAAGTTATGCCCATACTAAAGTTTTATTTTTAATTTTTAAAAAAATTTCCGATATTTAATTTTAAACAACTATGTTAGAATAAATTGAAAAAAATTATAAATTTAATTTAAAAGTCATTTTGAAAAAATGAAACCGAAAATACTAGTTTGAAGTTGGACAATGACATTGATTAAGTCTCAGCAAAAAACAAATAATGTAGTGCAAATATTATTAATAAAAAAATTAAAAATATTTTTTTTCAAAAAACTAAAAAATATATAAAAATTATTTAAATATTTTTTGATTTTTAAAAACTAAAAAATAATAATAAAAAAAACCTAAATTTTGAAAACTTTTGGATTCTCCTTAAATTCAACATATAGTATATCCACGCCTATCAGAAGCGACAACCCCTAGTACAAGTTGTTTTCTCGCATATCCTGAAAACTTAAATTATTTATGCAATAATTATAAACTAATAACAAGTATTAGCACAACCACTTGAGATCGTTAAAGAAAGAGGAGAAGACTTTTCACCGATCACTTTTCCCCGCAATTGTCATATTCAGTCATCAATTATGTTCCTTCAATGATCAAAAGGAACACTTAACTCTTCAAGGATAAGCATAAACTGATATTTTGTCATATACCTTGCATTCATAACTCAACTTTCATTCAGCTTTTGGCTTTGCTACATCACTTCTCATATTCATTCAGAGGATTCTGCTCAAAAAGTGTATGTAGGTTACAATCTCAGTTTTTACTAGAAATTAACTCAACTGTAATTACATTAAGTGAATAGTGTTTGTAAGTTACAGAAAAGAGGTTAAAAGTAAGAGCAAAAAGTTTGTAAGAATTCTGAAACTTTGCTTTTGCTTTATGCACAAAAAGGAGGCACTATAGAGGTGAACATTTGGCAGTAATCTTTGCATAAAGCTTAGCTTGCCAAGAAGGCATTAGCTAGCTGAAACAAATTTTTGCAACTCCCAACCTTTCCTTCTCAAACTTACATCTGAAAGAGAATATTTAAGGTCCTTTAGTGCGGTGCCTGGCCCTTTACGTGTGTGGCCCCATTTCGGAGAAATTCAACTCTGAATAAAGCTCGCTTCTTCTTTTTCTTCTTTCACAAATGTACCTTCGTACTTACGATTTTGGCACCAATCTTCACGCTAGCCAGTTCTGTGAGCAATGTGTGAATTATTGTTCAACCAAATACAAACTCACCAAGAATTGCAAATAATGATTGAAGTTATGCCTTCCAAATAATTCATCTTAGATATAGAGAAAAATCATTAAAGTTCAAACCATGGTCAATGATCATCTTCAAAACCTATGAAAAATAAAAGGCCTTTTAACCACGTGGATACAGAATCTTTAAAATGCTTGATTTTTTTATTCTGAATATACACCTACTTGTGAATACACTTTAGTAAAACACTTATTGAAGGGAAAAGCCGAAAAGTATTTCATCGTTTGGTTAAGTTGACCTTTCGTCATGTTAGTGGACAGAATATTCTTGTGTTATTAACAAATAATATCTTTTACAGAACTAAACTCAAAATAAAAAAGAAAAAGAGGAAAAAGAGTGCATCTGCGATCATACTTTTTTTATTTGTAAGTTTATTATTTAAAAAGTTTTAATAGAAAATGGACATAAAAAAAATGATAGATTCAAATTTCTGGTTAGCTCTGTCCATAAAAGAAACCCAGTCATAAATCAGTGAAAAAGTGCCATGATAAAGACATGATTATTAGTTTTTTTTTTTTTATAATTTGATATGGTGTGTTACACGGGCTTATGTAAGTCATTAATTACGTCGAATGATTTGTCTGTCTTGGTTTTATATCTTCTTTCTTGCATACTCCATAAATGGCATTTTATTATTTAGTATGTCATTCATTTTATTTAGTATAATATATAATATGATCTTTTCATGTTAGTCTAAAAATTTTTTAGTTTACTCTTTTATAGTTTATATTTTTTTTACTAAAATATTAATCTGATTTGGATACGTTGCCACTATAAATATTTTTTACATGTGATCAACTAAAAGTCACTCTAAATATCACTTTTAAGATAAATATTATAAAAAAAATATTTACATGAGAATTCTATTATCCATGTATGTCAGCGTAGAAAACTTTTACTACATTATCATTTTATTTGAATTGAAGTTTTATAATAGATTATCACAACCTCACATTACATCAATTTTTAAAGAATCGTTGAAAAACTTTAACGAAAAAAGGGTTTTTAATTAATATTAGATGTCACTTAAAAAAAGAAGTTAATTTATATGTATAGTTAATCATCATGCGTTTAACCGGTCACCACAAAATTATATCTTCACTGAATAGAAGAGGAATCTGATTTGAATAACATTGTTTGAAAGTGTTATTGTAGCACTGGTTTTTGGCTTTTCCATTCTTTACAAAAGTTGTTGTTTTTTTCTTTTGCCAAAGGCAGACAAAAAACAAGGGGGTTTGAGAGCACGGTAGTGTGGTCTGTGTGGTCTTGGATAGCATCATCATCGCAAAAGAAATATGCCATGCACAAAACCAATGCAGTGTCATCATGATCCCTCACGTTAGCACTTAGGGGCACATGCAACCCAATTAATGCCTCAGTTATTACAAGGGATAAAACAACTTTTGCGCACAGATAAATGCAAAGGCTTTAAAAGAGAATGCACAAACCATTCTTAACAATCATTATAAACCAGTATTTTGTGTTAATTAGTACTAGTAGATAGAGTAATCACCACATAACACTAATGATTAAGGATATAGTACTACATTTTTATATGAAAACTGAGTCACATGTAAACACGCGCTTGAAAAATTGAACCCATTACACGGAGACCAACCACTTAGTGATTACTCAAATAGTGGGGAAGAGTAAGAAGATGATTCACTCAAATTGCACTTTCTATGAAACACAAGTTATCCTCATCAGCCCAAAGTTAAAAATGTTGAGTTATACCAGGGCGAAGAAGGCGAGGAAAGCAGCATTGGAAAACAACGAAAGAGCCAAATTGGAAAGCGTGGCTGGAAAAGAGCAGTTAACATATGGGACAAATGATAAAGGTGGGAAAAGGACAGAGTTTAAAGCCACTAACGACCCTGCTTCGAGGCAATGGCAAGGCCAATGGTGTAATAGTAGAAGTGGACAAATTATAAAGGTAGAAAGAAAGGACACACAAGAAACTTGTAGGAATAAGCGTCTTAACTAATGAGTGCACCAAACACCTTCTCGGTGACACAGGACACCTAATAAGGACATGTACGTTCCAGCTCCTTTTCTGTCCACCCCCAAAATCTACATACAATCATTAAATTATCGAGAAAATTGACACCAACTTCGTTCCACAACACAGCATACAACAAATTCAACTCACAGCTAGATTCCAATCTCCATCTTATCATTTACATTATGCATAAACTAATAGTAACAAATTCTGAAACTGGCGTTGCCATTTGAAAATATATCATCGGTATTGGTTACCTAATCACATCAAAATCACAAACATCTCAAAGTTCTCGTGGAATTCTAAAAACCAAAATAGAAAAAAAAATAAAGAAAAAAAGAATAGAAACAGTCTAGACTATATAGCCTCTAGTCTATAACCCTGGCAAAGACCATCCACCACCACCACCACCATCATCATCATCATCATCATCATCATCCATCACCACCCAGTTGAATGAAATTAGCCTCTGACACCTCACTCACATGACAGAACAAGCATTCGGGTTCTCGTCACTGAAAAGTTGTGGTGGTGGTGCATGCAAGTGAAAGTGCATCTGCTCCGGGTACACTGGCACATAGCTATGGCCACCAACATTGCTCTGTCCATAACCATAACCATAACCAAATCCAAAAGCAGGTTGTGGCAAATACTCCATTCTGTTGTAATCTATTTTCTCTCCTCCCTCTTCATTATTATCTCCTCCACCACCACCACTCTTGTTCTTCTTCTTCCCTGATCCTTCCTTGTCCTTCTCACCTTCCTTGTCACCCTCCTTCTCTTTCTTTGGAGGGACCACCTCAACCTTCCTCTTCAGCTTCTCCGTTAGATTCTCCACCAGAGCCTTAACATTCATCGTACCCTTCACAGTCACCGTTTCCTTTTCCTTGTCGATACCCATTTCTTGTACTCCTACATCATGTACATACCCAATTAGCCAAACCAAGAGATAAATTATACCTATTTCTTGTACTCCTACATCATGCACATACCCAATTAGCCAAACCAAGAGATAAATTAAACAAGAAAGAAAAGGAAAACTAATTGACTAACCTTTGGTTTTCAGCACGGTCCTTCCAATCCTGTCCAAGCAACCCTGGCAATGCAATGCCATCTTCAGAACAGCGGTAGTCACCACCTATTAATTAAATTAAGCAAAATTAACAATATGCGACAAATAAATTAATAAATTATACTAAAAATAATACCAATAACAGAGATCACTGCAGGAACAAAAAAAAAATCCCAGGCTGAAAGCAAAGAGAAATGTAAAATAAGAAGGGAAAGGTTGGGACCAGTGGTGAACGAACGAACCTCTTTGTTTTTCTTGTCGTGGATTTTGTTGTTGGTTTTGGTGTCCTTGTTATCCTTCTCCTTCTCCTTCTCCTTCTCCTTCTCCTTCTCCTTCTCCTTCTCCTTCTCCTTCTCCTTCTTGGGCTGCGGAGAAACAATTTCCACCTTCCTCTTCATCTTCTCCGCCAGGTTGTCCCTCACCTTCGTGGGGTCAACTTTCCCGGTGACCGTTACCTTGCCGGCGCCGCTCTCCGCCTTCAACGTCTCCACACCTTCAAGAACAGGCAAAAGCAAATAAAAAACACAGCAATTAAAGAAACAACGTAGAGCGGGTAAACACGGAAGAATGAAAAAAACCTCGGAAAGCGCGAAGGTGTCGAGTGATTTTGGAAGCGCAACCGTCGCAATGGAAGTCTAGCTTTAAAACGACGGTGGTTGTGCCGTCCTCGTTCTCCTTGTTCCCGTTGCCGCCACCTGTCTTCTTTTTCTGCAACACCAACAACACAATTAGCAACGTAACTGAGTCTAGGAAAGTGGTGAACGTGAGAGAGAAAGTTACCCCCATTATGTGTGTGTGAGTGAGCGAGCGTTGGTTTGGTAGAGGTAAGAGTGAGTTTTTAGAAAGGGTCTGTGTGGGGGGGTATTTATAGGGGGGGAGAAGTAATAACAATGCACATGGTGCGTGTTTATGACGTGGGTGAGTGGGACCCAGGTTGAAGTGTTTCCTTCTTTCACAAGGAGCTTCGTTTAATTATGTTGACTGGACCAAGAAACTTCTTCCCTCTTGCCAACCAAGTGGGTGTCTCCTTCTTCCTCTTCACCATCCTTCTTCAATTGCCTTGCCTCACCCTCAATGCACAGTCTTGTGTTTGGTTTATCAACCACTGTGCAATTATACCTCGCCTCTTAACTTTCCCAACCTCTTTTCCATTTATGGGTCATTTCTTCCCACACTTTTTATCAAATTTAAGACACATCCCTGAATTATAAACTCCAATTTATTTATCCTTTTTCTTCTCAAGATTTTGTTTTTTAATCTAGAAGGCTTTATTAAACGAATAACATTTAAAAAATATATTGTTCTTATGAGTATTTTCTTTTTTGTATTTAAATTGCTACTGAATATCGGTTCTATTCTCATTAAATGGACCTACTCTAGTTGTAGAGTCTACAAAAACAATTTCCTGCTACTTTCTTTCTTTAGGTAGCTGAGGCTTAACTTGTAAGCGTGTGCGCCACTTGTTAATAAAAGGAAACATGTTTGATCACCGTATGCACATTAAATATTTTACTTGTATGATTATATGGAATATAAAATAAAAGTAAAAAAAAAAAATTAAGATAGCGATGACTTGGATCAAATAAATTGTAAAAGTAAATACAAAAACTAAGTTTATTACCATAAAAGGAGTCAATATATAAATAACACATTCTTCATAAGTATATATATAACTAATTTTAAAAAAAATTAAAACATATGAAACAAAAGAAAATGAATGAAAGAAATATGAAATAAAGGGAAAATTATTTTTATAAAATAGTATAAAAAGAAAGAAAGGTATTCATTCGAAAAAATAATATACAATTAAATTCAAATTAAATATTTATTTAGTTATAAAATTACTTATATAATTATTAATTTTTTTTTATTAATAAAATAATTTTTTAATGCGAGATCTTCAAATTAATATTTATTTTTTAATAATATAATTATAGAATATTTGTTATCATGTTTTTTTAATTATTTAAAATTAAATTAATAAAATAATATCTTGTTGTAAATAAATAAAATATATTACATTATTTATTTGTGTTTTTATAATCTATTGATATTTTATTGAAATAGTAATTAAATATATATATATATATATATATATATATATTAAAATTATAAACATAAAAATAAATAATTATTTACACTGATTCTATTACGAAAAATTTATGCAATATTTTCTCCTTTTTACTCTATTCGGGATTTGAACCCGCAATCTCTATAACTCAAAGATTATTCTAAATCATATCAGTCATCATATGTTTATTGTCAACTTACACACATATTAAAGTAATCTCTAAAACTCAAGGATTATTCCAAATCATCATATATTTCTTGTCAACTCACACAAATAGTAAAGTTTTAATGTATCCACACTCAATCCATACAAGATTTGTTAAGTCCCTAAGGATACTTAATGTTCAGGCACACACATGAGTATTTTCTAACAATTATAAAATAATAAAAAAATTATAATTGTTCTAATGCACATTAACAAAAATCGAACTCATGACTGACCCTCCAATCTTATGACAAGGATCTAACCAAATAATCTACTTCTCATTTTAAAAACATTATTTAATTTTTAATTTAATTACTTCTCTTATTTCCAATCTCTACTTTAAAACATATAATTAATATCTGGCGTTCAACTTGTCCAAAAAGCGGGTTAATTTTGAGTATTTTCTAAAAATTCCAGAAAATCATAAATAAGCTAATAAACATAAAACTTACGAGTAGTTTTACCTCATTCCTAATAATTTAATTATTAAAATTTTGATAAAAATTTTGTCAAAATTTAATAAACCAGGAGTACTGAAAATTAGGATGTTACATTATTTAGGAATTAAGGTTAATTTATAAACATGTTTCTCTTTTAATCCACCATAAAATATAGTGTAAGAATAAAATTATGATAAACAATAGTTTTAAGCTCACAGTCTTTTAAACAGGAGAATTACCGTAACTTTCTTAAACAAAATTATTATTATTATTATTATTATTTAGATTAAATATAAAAATATTGAAAAAGAAATTAAAATTATAAATATCACAATTAATTATATATAAATTTGTTATAGTACATTTGTTTATTTTAATAGTTATTTTATTATAATATATTTAATAATTTTATAATAACAAAAATCTCATAACCGTTTAAATAAAATGGTAAAATATGAATTTAATTTTGATTTTTAAATTAAAATTACACTAAACCAAATCATATTTTAATTTTATATTTAATTTGAATAAATTTTTAGTATAAAATTAAATAAAGCCGTATGATATTATTCATGATTAATTTTAAGTTAAAATAAGATAATAATTATATATATATATATATATATATATATATATTTATTTATATATTCATTCCATTGATATTGGTTGGTATAGAGTTGTTAGCTGAATTACAATGATCACATTTTATCACTGTACATCAGAGTCTATTATTATTCAGTATGTCAGGATTTTCTCATCCTTTTTCGTTAATGCGGTTCGGCCCATGGACCCTCTCCTTCTACATGTTTGGTTTGATCAACCTCCACTTAGCAAATACTGCCCATAAGCTTTTTGTTTTGCATAGGATAAAATTGGCCTCCTAGATAAATTAAATAATTTACAAATTAATAATGGTTATCTGTAATTAATGTGAAAAAAAGGATAATATCATATGATTTTTTAATATAATTATTATATATATATATATATAATTTCTTTTTTAAGTGCAACATCGATTATGTAATTGTTATTTATGCGTTACAATATAAATAATTACATTGTTAATTGGTAATTTAATAGAAAAAAGAATAATGATAAAAATATAAGTTTGGTGGGTTTTCATGGTGAATTCAGATCTTTTTCACCGTAATTAAATCGTCTTTTACTGTAGTTGACATTTATAAATGACTTTATCCCTAGACGCTAATAAATGCTTAATAATATGTAACTTTTTTGTAATCCTTGTCCTATTAAAAAAAGCAAATATTTTTGTACTACAAAAATTACGTAACTTTTAAGTTTTGTATTGTAGCAGAAAATATGTAAGCGTGTTCCACTCAATATAAATAAATAAATATCTTTTTATATTAATTTATAAATAAATACTACAAAAATGATTTTTTTTAAAAGTACATGTAAATAAATAAAAAATGTATAAAGTAAAATAAAATATAGATTACATATATTTAATTTTGAAATTTAAAAAATCTTAAAGACTAATTTGAATTAATAAATATTATTTTTAATAATAAAATATTTTTTTTAGATCATGTTTATTAATTGAAATGATCAAGAAAATTCAAAATAGATTTTTTGAATAGAAATTGGAAGAAATAAAATTAAAGCTCATAAGATATGTATATATAAACTAAGGAAAAAAATGATTGAATGACAGAAAAAAAAATAAGTTGGTATAAAAATTAGGGTATTATTTACGTTATTCGTTCTTATTGTTGATATTAAACAATTGACAGTGAGAAGTTTTAATTGGAAATGTACACAATTTGTTAACATAAAATAATATAAAAATAAGTTGAATATTTTATTTATAATAAAATTCCTTTTAGTTGCTCAACACTGATGTTAATAAAATTGTATACGTCATTATATTTTTATGATAAAGATTCAAATTGTAATATAAATATAAAATTTATGATGTTTATAATTTTTATTTTTTGAATTATTTTTTATATAAATATTATATATATATATATATATATATATTATCAATTAAATTTTTGATAAAAATGAATTAAATTTATTATCATAGATATGTTTTTAAATTTTCATTCTCATTCTTGTTGATTTTATATATTTTTTTCATTGCTTCGTGTAAATGAATAAATATTTGAGTTGATTTTTCTGTATCGTATCGAGTTATTAGCCCAATTACAGTAGCCCATTTCATACCTGTACGGTTCGGGCCTGTTAATGAAGCTGAACTTAGTTCAATATCCAATCCCTTTTTTTTTTTTGTTAAAATGAAAATAAGAGCAATAATAAATTGCGGGCATAAGTTTTTGTTTTATATAGAATATGTATTCTGTTGATACTATTCGGGATATTTCTATTAAATGCAGAAGTCAAGTAATAACCAATCTTTATTTCTTATATATATAGTAAATAATAATGTAAAAGAATTATAATTATTATAAGCTATTTAATCTTGTAAATGTCTTACAATAAAAAATATTAAAATAAACTTAAAACTGAGTTGTGACTTTTATATAAGTGAAGTGAGATTTTGAAAAATGTAAATAAATAAAAAAATGGGTATAATTGAAACGTGTGAATTATTATAAGATTTGTTTGATATGTTTAATCTAATGTATAGAGAAAAAGCAAAGTCATAAAAAATGGTTGAACAGAAGCACGTGTGGCACGCTTGATGGTGTTGGTGTGTGTGGCATGGAATGGAAGAAGGTACGTAGAAGAATGTATGTTGTATTTAAGCCAGCTCAACTACAGCTGGACCAAATCAGATTATGAATAGTTGATTTTGAACTTTATTTCGTTTGAATCATCTCTCTATTCACGCGCTGTTATTTTACACGTTAATTTCAATTGAATGATAATAATAATAATAATAATAATAATAAAAGTCCATTTCAAATAATTCATTTAAAGTTTTAGTTTTGATTTCTATATTTTGTAAAATTAATAAATTTATTTATTTTTATTTTAATTACCCACCATTTTAGTCCATGATTTTATTTAATTTTGATTTATTCAGTTTTTTAGTAAGAACACTGGGAGGAACGAGAACTAATTAGGTTAGCACCCCATCCTCTTATTTATTAAATTTTAATTATATATCATTTTATTCTATTTTAAATTTTTAAATATATTAAAGAAATTACTAAATTATATTTGGTTTAAGAAAATTTTCTCTTTTATTAATTTTTATTTTTATCTTATTTCACAACATTCAAAATTTGTCTGTGAAATAATGAAAGATAAAATCTTTTAATAGTATTTATAGATAAATCGACATTAAAAATGTAATAGTAATTATATAATTAATTACTTTTTTTATTATAATTAACATGAAATTATCATAATTATATATATCAATGATTATAAAATAAACTATAAATTATATATATATATATAATATATAACATTTTTTTAATAATGATTAGTTTATAATTATAATTACATATAATATATAATAATAATAATTATAGAAAAATGGGTAATTATTTAATGAAAAATCATTGATAATCATCATATATTATATCAAACACAATTATAAATATAGTTTTCTCATTCTATATCTTTTTACTTTTATTCATCCATAATATACTTTATTGAATAATCAAATCAACAAAATGAACCATCTATGATACTATGTAATTACCTCATCACATAAGAATATTTCTTTTACAAGTTTAGGTACTAAATCATTAACGGATTCAATCTTGTTTTTGTGCTTAATATATTGAATATAAATTTGCTTGAAGAATGATATTTTTTAATATATATTAATAACCAAAAAGATCAGACTTATTGAAGAATTTTCATTTGGATGAATATACAGAAAACTGCTAGTAAAAAAAGAATTTGTATTTGATAAATTAATTAACTTTTCATGATACCCAATAAAAATAAGAAAAATAGGAATATAAAAGATAGTCAAAGTGCACAATAAAAACTCTTAATTTTAATATCATATTAAAAAATAGTAATAGAGCGTTTTTATATTGAATAATAATATCAATATATTAAATTGTCAATTAAAGAACAAAATAGTATACAAATGAAAAAAAAAAACAATAAAAGAAATAATGTTTTGATAACATATTCAACATTAACCATGAAATTGATCGGCAGAAAACATAACAAAATATAGAAACTACACTCCAATGTAAAATTAAACACTAAAAATCAGAAAAGAGAAAATAAACTATCTTATTTTTAATTATATTAGAAAAATAAAATTATAAAAATTTATAAATTTTATTATAATAAAAAGAGAAAATAATCAATAATATTTCTTATGACAACATATTGAAAATTTATGATAATAAATTGAAATCATTATTATATTTAATTATTATAAAATAAACATAAAACAGAAATATATATTACTGTTACATATTTGCTTTAATTAATAATTCAATTTATAATTTTGTTTATAATAAAAGTAAATATTTTTTATATATAAAAGCATCTAAACAAAATTTCTTCCACTTATTAAATAAGATAATTTCCTTAAAAGCATCTAAACAATATTTTGTTTATACTAAAAATGTATCAAATAAGATAATTTCCTTAAAAAATTGTATCATATAGATATTAATTCTTGAAGAAAAAAACGTCTGTAGTATCGACGATTTTTTTACATTTGTCCAATAGTAATTTTACACGTATATTTAACTAAAAGTTAATATTTATATATAGCATGTGTTATTATTTGTTAACTTTGTTAATATTTATACGTGAAAATCATTTTTAAATGAGTGTTTACTGTAACGGATCTTTAATGATTTTAAAAAGTAAAATAATATATTATTAATAAATAATAAATAAAAATTAAAGAATATAAAAAGATGAGGGGTAAAATTTGTATTAAAGATTATATTTTTAAGCTTAAAATTACTATTAATATATCTAGTCTTAGATAAGCAACTGATATATGAAAAGGCCTCAATTGATGAATTGGGAGACCAAAATAGAAATTATGTAAAGGCCCAAAAGGGAAGGGAAACAACCCTAATAGATGTCACTAATATTAAGTGCATGAGGTGAGAAAAGATAGATTTTGTAAGATATTATAGATATGCATAGATCCTGTTAGATTTTATGAGATATTATTTTCTTTTATTCTGGCAAGTTAATTATACTCCTACCACACTGTATATGTATTAAGTTTAGTTGAGAAATGAGAAACTTGAATAATCTCCTTCTCTAATATTTCCATTTGTTTTGTAAATTTTTCCCTTAATCTTCCACTCTTAATTCTTAACCTATCAGCAAACTATTTAATAAAATAATGCCTTTTAAGTAAAATTTTAATTATGGTTAAATACTCTTTTATTGTTGGTGTGATCTAAATATATAAGTACTTTGCATTTAAACAAAACCAAATATTAATATTTCTTAATTTTAAGAATATGAAACTAAATATATTACTATTAAACTTTTATAAAATAAAAAATAAAAATTACACGTTCTCTGAACTTGAAGAGAGTAGGCATAGTGATAGAGTTAAATGGGTGTAGTAGAGTCAGGGAAATCCGTTACGTGGCGGAGTGGGAATGGTGAGGAATGAAATCCCACGTGGGTGTGATGGTTTTGTTCACGTGATGTAAGACCCAGGTTGTTCTGTGGCAGACATGCGGGTGCAGGGCTCTTTCTTCCTTTCGACATCACAACAAAGCCTGATAATGGACATCGTCATCAAATCCTTATCCTTTCGTAATCTCATCGTTAATCACTCTAAACCCTTCATTACCATAATCATCATGCGTTATTAAACCCCATCCTCCCTTTCTCTCTCCCTCGCCCCCTTTAAATCATATCCTTCTCATCACATCATTTGCCTTCTCTCCTTCATCATCAATTCTCCTCCCCAATATGCTCCCTTTGCCTGCATTTGCACCTGCACTTTACTTGGTTTTCTCTTCCTCACCACAAAACACATGTTCATGGAGAAAGAGAACGTTACGTAGTGTATGTGTGCGGGAATGGATGGGAAACCAAGCACAAGGTGCAGGTACATCTGCAGGTGAATGACATCTTGGCTCCAAAAGAAGAGTGAGAAAAATTAACATGGTACCAAATGGTTGACAAAATATCAGTTTTTTCATTTGTGTATCTAAAAGGGATGTTAGTTTCTTAAATAGATCTTACAGTTTCAAGAGAATTATTAGCCTATGGTATTCTCTATCAGAAAAATTCCGCACAGATTCACATGAAGAATATGAAAAGAAGAGTAAGATTCCGCTAGTTTTTGGTCCTATAAGTTTACCTTTTCTTCTCTTCATTTCATAGCATGTTAGCTGTATATTTATTTATAGTAACTTACCGGTAGTATTTATGCAGATCCAGATCTGAATATGGGAGTTGAGTCCTTTGTATTTATATATATATATATATATATATATATATATATATATATATATATATATATTAAAATTTTGCTATAAAGGGTTATTCGACCTATAAATTCCACCAACCCTTTTGAAAGTGGATAGTTTTTAAG